CTTGTAGCCCTGTGGACTGCAGCCCACCAGGCTCCTCTGTCCCTGAGATTTCCCAGGCGAGAGTACTGGAGTGGGTTGCCATTTCCTCCTCCAGGGGATCTTCCCAACCCAGGAATCAAACTTGCGTCTCCTGCTTGGCCGGCAGGTTCTTCAGCACTGAGCCACCTGGGAAGACCTTGCGAGGTCTAGGAGGTGGCAGGTTCATGCTGTGGACTAAATGTTTATGTCACCCCCCCCCCCATTCCTATGTTGATGTTCTAACGTAATGGAATTGGGAGATGGGACCTTTGGAAGGTTAATTAGGCCATGAGGTCGGAGCCCTCATGGTAGGAGTAGTGTCCTAGAAAAGCAGATGAAACAGCTGGCCCTCTCGGAGGATACAAGATGTTCATCTGCAAACCAGGAAGAGTGCTCTCATTAGATCTTCCAGCACCTTGGACTTCTCAGCCTCCAAAACCATGTGAAATAAGCCACCCAATCTATGGTAATTTATTATAGCTGTCTGAACTGCCGATGACAGATGGTTTGAAGATAGTTGAGCCAAGGAACCCAGAAATAGCTAAATCCTTCCCTGCCCCTCACACTCCTCCCCATGGGATTCCCTAGGAAGCAGATCCAGGGGAATGATAAGGGGAAAATTGGGCATTGCAAGATGGTAGACATAAATCCATATATCTATTTATATCCATATATAGATAAAGAGATAGATTGATAGATCTGCTCCCAGTTCCTGACACTGAACTCCTAAATCTCTTGGAATGTCCTGGGTGATGGGGTGTCTTTTGTTCTAATGAGATGACTCTGGCTGGACACCTGGATTGCTCTTGGATATGGGTGGTCACTAGAAAGACCAAGCCATGATCAGAAACTAGGAACTTTCAGCCCCTACCACCACCACCACCACCACCATCTTCCAGGGAGGGGAGAGGGACTGCAAATGGAGTTAATGATTGATCACACCTATGTGAGGAAACCTCTCTAAAAAATCCTAGAATTATGGGGCTTTGGAGAGCTTTTGGGTTGTTGAATACATCCATGTACTAGGAGGAGGACACATTCCAACTCCACAGGAATCGAAGCTCCTGTGCTCAAGACCCTCCCAGACCTCCCCTTATGTACCTTTTCATCTGTGTCCTTCATCATATCCTTTAGGACACATGTGCTGTGCTGTGCTTAGTCGCTCAGTCATGTCCAACTCTTGAGACTCTATGGACTGTAGCCCGCCAGGCTCCTCTGTCCGTGGGGATTCTCCAGGCAAGAATACTGGAGTGGGTTGCCATGCCCTTCTCCAGGGTATCTTTGAACCCAGGGTTCGAACCCAGATCTCCCGCATTGCAGGCAGATTCTTTACCGTCTGAGCCACCTGGGGAAGCTTAGTACACATGTGACTCTAAGTATTTCCCTAAATTCTGTGAGCCACTCTAGCAAATAGTGGAAGCCAATCAGGGAGGAGGTCTTGGGACCCTCCAATGGGTAGCCAAGTTGAAGCTGTGAGTAACAAGGGGACATACTACTTGCAGTTGGCATCTGAAGTGTGGGGGGGTGGGGGGGCAGCCTTGTGGGACTGTGCCCTTAACCCCGTGGGATCTGATGCTATCTCCATGTGGTAGCATCAGGATTCAGTTAAATTGTAGGACACTCAGCTAGTGTCACAGAGAATCACTTGGTGTGGGAAAAATCCCACACACATCTGGTGTCAGAAGTGTGAGTGTTCTGAGTAAAGGAGGCATAGAGGAGAAAAGATTGGGTTTTTCAGCGCAGGCACTGCTGCCTGAGAGCTCCCTGGTAAGTCGGGGCTTAGGCTGTCAGCTGCACAGTCAACCAGTATTGGGGTGTGCAGCAAGAGGCTGGACAGACATGGAGTTGTGTGGAGTAGCACAGTGGTGCCCAAAGAAGAGGAGTGGGCAAGGTGACCCACTGGGACGCTGGAAAAAACAGTAACACGTGTTGTGAGCTGGGTAGCCCATAAGGAGACCCTGAGACAAGGATTTGAGTGCAAGTAGTTTTATTTGGAAGGTGAAGAAAACACCGGTAGGGGGTGGGGACGATGCCAGTCAGTGAAGTCTGCATTGTCAGCAGGCTACAGGACTTCCCTGGTGGTCCAGCGGCTAAGGCTCCTTGCTCCCAGTGCAGGCGGTCGGGCTTCCATCCCTGGTCAGGGAACTAGACCCCACATGCTGCAACTAAGAGTTCACATGGCATACCTAAATATTCCAGATGCTGCAACTAAAGATCTTATGTGACACAATGAAAAGCGAAGATCCTGTGTGCTATAACTAAGATCTGGCACAGCCAAATAAATAACACTTAAAAAAAAAAAAAAGCTTACCACTGTGGGCAACTGGAGTTTAATTGCCCTGGAAAAAACTCTGAAAGCCTGTGTAAAACATGCTCCTCAAAGTTATATCCCGCAGAGGGTAAGGGAGCCGGGTGTCTATAGTCCAGCTGTGATTGGCCCACAGCTCGAGAGCAGCTCCTGCAGGGTGTTAATTCCATGGCTCTTCCAACCTTCCATGAGAGGAAGCCTTCCATGGCGCCAGAGAACCTTCTGCTCCACTGTAAGTAGATGTCGCTTTTCAGTGTACGTGATGTTGGTAACACAGTGCTTTGGTATCTCACAGCAAAGTACTTGAGAACCGCCCAATTCAAAGTTGTCACACAGGTTTTTCTTATACTCCTAACTTGCTGACCTTATCATGGTGACAGTGACTCTGAGTTACGTGGTAGGTTAAAGATATATTTTTACATTATATTTACTCTATAAGATAAAGCAGTCTTCAAACAAGTTTTATTTTCTATATTTTTTTTAACTTTTTTATTTTGTATTAATTTTTGATTTACAGAAAAGTTGCAATGACAGTACAGAATTTTCTTATCCCCTTCACCCAACTTCCTCTAATGTTAACATCTTCTACATAACCATAGTGAAGTGAAGTAAAGTGAAAGTCACTCAGTTGTGTCCGACTCCTTGTGACCCGATAGACTATACATCCCACGGATTTCTCCAGGCCAGAATACTAGAATGGGTAGCCTTTCCCTTCTCCAGGGGATCTTCCCAACCCAAGGATCAAACCCAGGTCTCCCACATTGCAGGCAGATTCTTTACCAGCTGAGCCACAAGAGAAGATCCATAACCATAGTAAAATGATCAAAAATAAGAAATTAATATTGGCGTAATACTAACTCAACCACAGACCCTACTTGAATTTCACCCATTTTAACACTAACATTGCTTTTCTTTCCAAAATCCGGTCTAGGTTCTTACGTTGCATCTAGTTGTTTTCTCCACTGTTGTGGCTGTTGTTCACTCACTAAGTCATGTCAACTCCGTGACCCCCATGGACTGCAGGACACCAGGCTTCCCTGTCCCTTCAGTATCTCCCGGAGTTTGCTCCTTAGTTTCTCCTAAGCTGTAAGGGTTTATTGAAATACAATTAACACACAATCAACTGCACATATTAGAAGTGTACAGCTTGGTTAATCTTGACATTTGGATGGATATACACAATTGTTTCTTCCTTGGCCTACTGATGAAGGGTTGGGTTGTTTCCAGTTTGGGGCTACCACACATAAAGTAGCTAGGAACATTTCTGTAGAGTCTTTGTATGGACACATGCTCTCCTTTCTCCTAGGTAACACTCAGGAAAGGAATGGCTGGATCATGTGGTTGGTATATGGTTAACTTTTTAACTTGCCAAACTGCTTAAAAAAAAACAACTCATTTTTAAAATTTAGACTTGGGCGTGGTTTCTCCTTACTCTCCTGGGGTTATGATTTTCCTTTCATGCTGGTTGTAGGGCAACCTGAGATCTCATTTTGGGGTCTGTTCCCCCTTACACACAGTTATTCATTCTTTTATCTTAATTCTGTTGTTAAGGCCAAGCAAGTGGTTAATCTTGCTCCATCATTTTTCTTTGATAATAAACTATCCCTGAGCTTAGTGGATTTTGGTGGGGTTGGCCACACTGCAAGGCATGTGGCTCTTAGTTCCCCAACCAGGGATCTAACCTGCACCCCTTGAAATGGAAATGAGGAGTCTTAACCACTGGTTCACCAGGGAAGTCCCTTGCCAAACTTTCCCAAAGTGGTTTATAACACATAGTACTTTGGTATCTCATGGCAAAGTCCTTTATCAGATATATTTTCTCCCATTTTGTGGCTTGTCTTTCCATTCTCTTAACAGTGTCTTTGAAGAATAAATTTTAAAAATTTTAACTAAGTCCAATTTAACAATTTGTTCATACCGTACCAAAGTATGATCTATAAAAGAACAAATACCATCGACCCTTGAACAGGATGGGAGTTAGGGTTTCTGACCCTCTATGCAGTCAAAACGATGTGTAACTTTAGAGTCAGTCCTCTGTATCCATAGACTGTCCCACAGCAGTTCACACTTAGGGAAAAAAATCCACATATAAGTGGACCCACAAAGTTCAAACTTTATTGTTCAAAGGTCTACTGTTAATTTATATCTAAGAAATTTCTGCCTAACCCAAAGTCCAAAAGTTTTCTTCCCATGTTTTCTTCTGGAAGTTTTGTAGTTTAGGTTTTACATTTAGAACTATGATTCATTTTGAGTTTTTTTTTTTCTATGCTGTGAGTCACTGATCACAATTCAGTTTTTTACATATTGATATTTGATTGTTATAGCACCATTTGTTGAAAAAACTATTCTTTTACCACTGAATTGCTTTTGTACCTTTGTTGAGAATCAGTTGTCCGTAGATCAGTGGGTCTGCTCCTGGATTCTCCATTCTATTAATCTGTCTACCCTGATCCCATTCCACGCCAGGGAGGAGTAAGGTAATGTTTGTCTTCCGGGTTTATTCATCTTCTTCAAAGTTATCTTGGCTATTTTCTGTCTATTGTTTTTCCATATAAGTTTTAGGACCAGCTTGTCAGCTTAAAAAATATTACTGGAACTTTAATCAGTATTGAATTAAATCTATAGAGGATTTATGGGAACCGACATCTTAAGAACAGAATCTTATGATCCATGATTATGGTATATCTTTCCTTTTATTTAGGTCTTCTTTAATTTCTCTCAGAAGCATTTTAAAGCTTTCACTGTACAAATCTTACACATCTTTCATCAGTTATACCTAGGTATTTCACAGTTGTGATGTTATTATATATGGCATTTTCAATTTCTATTGCTAGTGTACAGAAATTGTTGATTTGAGTATATTGATCTTATTTCCCGAAACAATGCTGACTTATTAGACCTAGTGTGAACCTATCACACTATCAGCCTTTCGAGGATTAAACAGGATTTTTTTTTTCAGTAGACCTGTGAATAACAGCAGTTTTACTTCTTCCAAAACTCATTTTGACATGAGTGAGGAAGTAACTGCTTTTCTATAAAGCACCCGTGCTCTTAAGGGTGTCTGAAGTATTTTTATCATTATGGGGGTTTTGTGACTGAAGCTGTGAACCTGTCTCCTTTTCCCTAAGAACAGCACACTCCTGCCATCCCACCCAATCTCTCTCTCTTCGAAAACAGTGAGGGCAGAAGCTCAGGATACTGTGACCAACTTGTGCAGACCTACCACTGGGCAAGACTGGCATGCCCACGAGGTCTGACTTGAGGGGTGTATCTGATTGTTCCCAATGGCTGCACATTGCCAGGAGGTCAGAAACTTCCTCATGGCATTTGGCCCTGCCAAGCTTCCAGAAGCATCCTGGGATGGAGATGGAGTATTCCCTGGAGAGGGCATACAGCCACTTTAGGACATATGCTACACTCTCCTAACTCTCTTTGCATTTTACTGAACAGGGAGTCAAGCATTTTGGCTTTAGAATAGGAGGGGTTCCAAGAGGGCCAACCACATCCCACCCCTTTAGTCCATCTGCTGTCTGGCTCCCGTGTTCATGTCACTGGCCTATTTGAATTCTCAGGATAATCGATCTTTGGTATCAAAAGATATCTGGCCTTGCTGTCCCAGAAAACACCATGACCTTCTGGTAGGTGTCTCCAGCAAAAGTGATCCCACCACACCTCTCCCCCCTCTCCCAGGCATTGCCATGTGTCCTTTCTCCAAGACTCCCCATTCCCACTCCTACCCTCCCACCCCCAGATTTGTCTTCAGGTTTCAGGTCCTCTGGTCACTGCAGGTTGTCCTTCATGGGCAGCTTTAAGGATCTGAATTATGATCCACAGTTGGCACACACTTCCCCTTAGTAAAAGGCGTGATTCTTTCCCTTTAAAAAGACACAGAGAAAGAGAAAATGAAACTGGTCCCTTGGAAGGATGTGAGCCCCCCCATCCATGGAGAGGCACCCACAGGGGAGGAACAGGTACCTATTGGTTGTACTTCCCAGGGGAATCTACACTGGGTGAGGGGCCAAAACTGATGACCTCTAGAGTTTTCCCAACAAAACAGCCTAGTTCTAAGGACAGCCCTCTGCTATGCACCTAGTTTGGCTCATCAGACCCTCCAAACTGGTTTGTAAGAACTTCAAACACAAAACCCTAGTGCCTAAAAGATCATTCCAATAAGGACGATGAGGGTCAGAAAAATGACAGAATTTGCCTAAGGTCACCCTGATGCCCAGAATTCCAGCCCAGAGCCCCTGACCACAGTCTAGCATTCCTTCCATTGCTCGGATTCTTTCCTAAGAGTGGAACACGGGAAGACTCTCTGGTTCACTGTCGTAACCATTTGGAAGAAGGCATTTCATAAGAACTCCTTGCTTTGTGTGTCTAACAGTGTCTGCCAGCCATTATGGCATACACGTGTGTTTGCTTGTTGTCTGTCTTCCCCACCAAGACGTAAACTTGATGAAGGCAAGACTTCGATTTCTTTATTGATATTTCTTCTGTATTGTATTGCCTACACTGTTTCAGGTGTGTCCACAAATATCTGTCAAAGGAAGGAAGGCAGGAGGGAGGGCTCAGAGGGTCAAAGAGGCCTTTACACCCATCTGGTGGGTCTCCATGCCTTCTGCTTTTCACTCCTCACCAGTCTACTGCCCCTGGCCTGTTTAGAGCCTCAGCTCTCACCTGACACTAAGCCTCCTTGTCTCCGTCCAGCCCCATCCAGCTCCTCCACCACAATGCCACAGAGTACCTCTTTAAAACACAAGAGCTACTTCCTGTTAAGCCCCTTTTGAGTGTCCAAAAGAAAATATTTGCAAAACACATACCTGATAAAGGATGTATGCCTAGAATATATAAAGGACTTTCAAAACTTAATAGAACAAAATAAGCAACCATTTTTTAAAATGTGTAAGAGATATGGATGAAGTACAGGAAAAGATGGCCAACATCTTGTCATTAAAGAAATGCAAATTCAAGCCACAAGGAAATACTCCTATTAGGTTGTCTAAAGCTGGAAAATAAAAGGGCCTTATAATACCAAATGTAGGACAATTAGATCCTACATATATTTTTGGTGGAAATACAAACTCGTACAACCATTTCAGAAAATAGTCTGGCAGCTTTTTATTAAGTTTTAGATATATTTACCAAGTGAGCTAGATATCCTGCACTAGATATTCATCAAAGAAGAATGAAAGTATATGGCTACATGAAGACCTATATGGGACTGCTTGTAGAACTTTATCCAAAATTGCCCAAACAGAGAACAACCCAAATGTCCCTCTCCTTGAAAGTGTATAAGCTGTGGTACATCCATTCAATGGACCATAAGTAGCATTAGAAAGGAACAAACTGCTGATACAAGCAACAACATGGATGAACTCAAGAACAATGCAAAATGAAAGATACAAAATTCTATATACAGCATGATTCCATTTATATGACATTCTGGAAAAGGCAGAACTATAATGTTGGTAATCACATCAGTAGTTGCTCAGAGTTGGGAAAGGGGGAGGAAACTGACAATAAATGGCACAAGGAAACTTTTGAAGGTGATGGTAATAGTCTATATCTCGCTTATTTTGATATGACTATATACATTTGTCAAAACTCAGAACAGGAAAAAACTTATGCAGCTGTATACCTTAAAAGGATGAATTTTACTGGCTATAGGTCGTACTATTATAAATCTCTTACAGAAGTCCTTCTGTGGCTTCTCACAGGTCGAATAAAGTCAGAGCAGCTTAGCTTCAGAATCAAGGCCTTTAAGAACTGACCTAGCCAACCCCACCTGCCTTATTCTCTGCGATTGCCCTTTACACACTGCATACATCATCCAAAATGAACTGTCTAGTGTTTTCCAGACATGCCCTGAGATTTTTTGCTTCCTTTCCTTTGCTCACGCACTTTCCATCACTCTATTTTTTTTCCTCCTCCCTGAAAGAGGTGAACCCTCGTGCAAAGAACATAGCTAGGAGCCCTGGGGAAAGGGACTCTGCACTGAACTTCCTGAGTCCCCTGTCCAAACTTCCAAATCTCCCACCAAAACAGCATGCACAGAGGCCTAGGAGGTAAAAGGGAGTGACCGGGTATGGACAGGTGGGATGAGGAAGAGAATGCGGATCATGGTGAAGGCTGTTTGTTGCCTTAGCCTTCCTAGATTCAAAAGGTCCTCCCTCCTGGTCTCATCCTCCAGAAGCCTGTAGGCTTAACAGACTTCCCCTACAGCCTGGATGTAGAAAAATCCTGGGCCCTCCTGCCTCCTCCTCCTCCTCATGCTGCCCTATAACTCTAGAGAAGGGGTTGAGTGTCTTCCCCAGAAAGCTGGGAGCCTCTCTGGAACAGAACTGCTGTCTGGCTGATTCTATTCTGCAATGTCCTAGTAGCCAGGATACACCTGGCATTTAGTAAGTGCTCGATTAACTTTTGAAGACTGCACACATGAATGCTATTGCCCAGCAGCAACTTTAGGAAATCCCATTCTCTCTCTCTGAATTTCAGTGGTCCCAACTGAAAAATATTGAGAGTAATTCCTAACTTTTAAAGTTACTGAATGGACTTCCCTGGTCCAGTGATTAAGAATCTGCCTTGCAATGCAGGGGACATGGGTTTTATTCCTGGCCAGGGACATAAGATCCCAACTGCAAGCAACTAAGCCCAAGCACCACAGCTACAGAGTCCATGCACCATGAAAGAACCCACATGACTGAACAAAAGATCGTCATGCTGCAACTAAGACCCGACACAGACACAGAAGTAATGAAAAAGGATTTAAAGCTACTGTGTAAATGCATATAAAATCACTTTGAATATTATAAACTCCAATAATATAAGAATTTATTATTATTATTATAAAAATTGATTTTTATGATTTCAATTTCAGATTCCTGGACAAGGAATGGGACTTCAGTTTGAATTGTTAAAAAGTCAGTGTGCCTACTCAAGTAATTAGGAGGAAGTATTGATGTCTGCCGTTCACTTCAAATTTTATCAAACTGTAAGATAATTATGGGGAGGAACATGCAAATTTGGCCTTGGAGTACAAAACAAAGCAGGTCAAAGACTAACGGAGTTCTTCCAAGAGAACGCACCGGTCATAGCAAACACCCTCTTCCAACAACACAAAAGAAGACTCTACACATGGACATCACCAGGTGGTCGACACCGAAATCAGATTGATTATATTCTTTGCAGCCAAAGAAGGAGAAGCTCTATACAGTCAGCAAAAACAAGACCGGGAGCTGACTGTGGCTCAGATCATGAACTCCTTATTGCCAAATTCAGACTTAAATTGAAGAAAGAAAGGAAAACCACTAAACCATTCAGGTATGACCTAAATCAAATCTCTTACAATTATATAATGGAAGTGACAAATAGATTCAAGGGATTAGATATGATAGACAGAATGCTTGAAGAACTATGGACAGAGGTTCGTGACATTGTACAGGAGGCAGTGATCAAGACCATCCCCAAGAAAAAGAAATGCAAAAAGGCAAAATGGTTGTCTGACAAGGGCTTACAAATAGCTGAGAAAAAAAGAGAAGCTAAAGGCAAAGGAGAAAAGGAAGATATACCCATTTGAATGCAGAGTTCCAAAAAATAGCAAGGAGAGATAAGAAAGCCTTCCTCAGTGATCAGTGCAAAGAAATAGAGGAAGATAACAGAATGGGAAAGACTAGAAATCTCTTCAAGAAAATTAGAGATACCAAGGGAACATTTTATGTAAAGATGAGCACAATGAAGGACAGAAATGGTATGGACCTAACAGGATCAAAAGATATTAAGAAGAGGTGGCAAGAATACACAGAAGAACTATACAAAAAAGATCTTCATGACCCAGATAACCACGATGGTGTGATCACTCACCTAGAGCCAGACATCCTGAAGTGTGAAGTCAAGTGGGCCTTAGGAAGCATCACTACAAACAAAGCTAGTGGAGGTGATAGAATTCCAGTTGAGCTATTTCAAATCCTAAAAGATGATGCTGTGAAAGTGCTGCACTCAAAATGCCAGCAAATTTGGAAACTCAGCAGTGCCCACAGGACTGAAAATGGTCAGTTTTCATTCCAATTCCAAAGAAAAGCAGTGCCAAAGATTGTTCAAACTACTGCACAATTGCACTCATCCCACACCCTAGCAAAGCGATACTCAAAATTCTCCAAGCCAGGCTTCAACAGTATGTGAATCGTGAACTTCCAGATGTTCAAGCTGGATTTAGAAAAGGCAGAGGAACCAGAGACCAAGTTGGCAACATCTGTTGGATCATCGAAAAAGCAAGAGAGTTACAGAAAAACATCTATTTCTGCTTTATTGACTACACCAAAGCCTTTGACTGTGTGGATTACAACAAACTTTTGAAAATTCTTCAAGAAATGGGAATACCAGACCACCTTACCTGCCTCTTGAGAAATCTGTATGCAGGTCAGGAAGCAACAGTTAGAATTGGACACAGAACAACAGACTGGTTCCAAATAGGAAAAGGAGTACGTCAAGGCTGGATATTGTCACCCTGCTTATTTAACTTATAGGCAAAGTACATCATGCGAAATGCCCAGCTGGATGAAGCACAAGCTGGAATCGAGATTGCCAGGAGAAGTATCAATAACCTCAGATATGCACATAACACCACCCTTATGACAGAAAGCTAAGAAGAACTAAAGAGCCTCTTGATGAAAGTGAAAGAGAAGAGTAAAAAAGTTGGCTTAAAACTCAACATTCAGAAAACTAAGATCATGGCATCCGGTCCCATCACTTTTGATGTTGAAGCTGAAACTCCAATACTTTGGCCACCTGATGCAAAGAACTGACTCATTGGAAAAGACCCTGATGCTGGGAAAGATTGAAGGCAGGAGAAGGGGACAACAGAGGATGAGATGGATGG